TGGCAATACAGGATGCTGCCAGTATGGCCGGAGGAAGTGCTTCTGGCAGAGTGTTGGCTGAACGTTTAAGGTGAAGGACAATGATGGTGGTGAGATATGGAAGGTGTAACTGATGCACATCTTTATCAAAGTTCTGAGTGCGAGCTGAGCCGATGGGTAGTTGCAGGTGAGGAGGAAGAGAGTTGACCCAGTCTACCAACTCCTGTCTGTGGTGGTCGGGTGATAATTCTGCCGTAGACAGCGTCGAACGTGAGAGCGTTTTTGCAATCCTTCCGATGATGACACAAAGGCGAACCCAGTATATAAATATCTCCCCTTTTCTCTGAGATCTGAGGTCACTTGGAAAGTCGGATAGAGTGGGTTCCTGAATATTACAGTCATCAAGATCGATGATGGCCGGCTTACTTTGACACAACGCAGTCAAACGTTCTCGAGCCTAGCACATCTCTTAGCAAATCTTGACGGGGAAAACGGTTGTTCTGAAGCCACTTACAAATGCCGTCCACCAGATTCTCCTTCGTAATCCTAGGTTCAAGTTGCCTGCAACGACTTGGCTCGCTGTTGGCTCCCGGTGTAGATTCATTTGCTGCGCATGACGAATCAAGACCGACGTCCACCACCATGATGAATGCCGATGAACTGTGCTTGGAGGGCGTGGAGCCCACCAGTAGAATAGAGAAACGGCCATGAGTGTAGTCAAGCCATCTGCCTCTTCATCTTCGTAGAATATTGTGCGTGCCTTCTTGTAATACTCGGCCGGTCCTTCGTAAGGTACAAGAGGAGGCTGTACGTTGCTTGCGGCAGTTGCCAACGCGTTTGCAAGGAGAGGCGATCGAGCAATATCGCTGGCAAGGGTGTCTGAATCCAGGACTGGACACCAGGCATAACAGTATTCGAAATAGGTCTCGGCAAAGCTTTCTTGAAGATCCTGTTCATGGGGATTCGAGAGACTGTACTTGTGGTCCAGGCATGCCTTCAATGCCTGTTTCTCAGCGTCAGACTGATTCTCAGGTGCATATACCTGTAAGAATCCGGTGTCTATATCTCCAGTGTGACTCTCAGCAACACCTTCTGTGCGTGCATCACTGCTCTGCGACCTCTGGGATGGCGATGGTGCGAGGTGAATTTCTTGAGATCGCACAACCGGAGCAGCCGAATGAGGGGATGAGGCATGTCTATGCTGCTCTGATATTGAGTGGCGAGAGCGGGAAGGCGGAGGCGGCGGAACGAAATCATTGAAGCCTGTGGATAAAACATGAATGGCATCAGCAACTGCGTCTGTTTGTGATACGGTTGCTTCATCGCCAGAAGCCGATGTCGCTGGTGGTGTCGGAACACGACTTGAATGGCCCGGTCGTACAAGACGTCGCCGTTTTGTACGCTTCGAAGGGCGAAGATGGCATTCCTTCTCCCAGACATCACAGTTCGTGCAGCTTTCGTAGCCTTCAGAGGTTCTAGCCTGAGTATGGTCAGAGTGATTCGAGAATATTGTGCGCCTCTCAGACAAACCTGAAGGTCGCACTTGACCTTTTTGCCGTGGCAAACTACACAGACGAGCTCGGCCCGCCGGCGCTTGGGCTGCGAGGCATCGAAAGGGAGCCATTCACTGATTGTCTCCGGCATGGCAAATCGTGGGATTTGGACAGATTGTTCTAGGCAAGCAAGGTCGTTGACGAAAGACAAAGCTTGATCCTGACACTCCCTCGAACGGATTTGAGATGAGGTTACAGTGAGATGAGGGAAGTCGTGCGTCTGAGTCTGAGCCCAGAACCCGAGGGGGCGGAGATGGAGCGCTGGAGCTTGGGCCGGCTGCGGAGAAATGCGGGGAACCGGGTAGTCACTAGATGCCCAGGCGCCAGCACCCTGCCACGCCTGTGTGCTATTACTTAGCGAAGGATCTTGTATTCTTGGGGGGGGGGGGGGGGATATTCTAGACAAGGGAGTGGAGGGAGGACACTTGGGGGACCCCAGGCTAATGTCTTAGGGGGTTTACTAGGCTGATGGGGCTTTTGAACCATTGGGTAGATGGAGCCTGAAAGCAAAATGTGATTCGTACGTGGTCTTCCACATTGAGGATGGCGTTCCCACGTCGTTGGGTTCAGTTGGGGTGGTTGGTAGCTGTGGTCCCAGCAGAGACAGTCGGACAGAACCATCAATTCCTAGCCTCTCTCTTAAACTGCCACGTGAGTCGATTGAACCGGACACTTCGGAATCAGCTCAACTCTTTCCCAATGCTGAATCTGTACGTAGGTGAGCTACATGAGGGTGCCTCATTGTTCGTGACCGTAGGGACTAGGCTTTCGAAGACTCGATCTTCACGAGATTTACTTAAATATGTAAATGCCTTTTTATGCGGCTGGATGTGAATTTGCATAACCCTCAAAAGAGTGGATGGTGTAATATTAGGGAACTCGGCAATATTCAGGTGTAACTAAATCCTTCTGAGTCGAATACGTTCCGTTTCTCCATTACAAAGAGCAGCACATCGAAACAACACAGGCAGCAGAAAGCAAGAGTCCAACTGTCCGTGGCAAAAGCACGACCGACACCAAGTCCACCTAGAGGATATATCTGAACTGGGGGTTCTGCCACTTGATCAGCATACTTGAACACTTTCGACAGCTAGGAAGTCAACGTACCTTCATGTCGGTGAGATCGTCCTCGTAGGCGTGGTCAAAGCCCTCCATGATACCGGCCTTGTCACGCTTGTTGTTATACCAAATGCAGACAAATCGATAAACAAGGCCAAGAACTCCTGCAGCCAAAGACGTAATCACAACGACGATGAAGCCAGGAGCATAATTAGGCGCATCTTCCTTCCGGAAGACCAAGGGCCCGACAAAGTTACCTGGTCGCGGAATTAGTCATGACGGAAACGTGGTCGTGTCAAAGAAATATTTGACATACCAAGGCAATATCCAATGTAAAGGCCGGACGAAGCAATCGACCGTTTGGTGTAACCCGAAGTGTTGGCGATCTGCAGGCCCATAAGAACAGCGTACCCTCCTCCGACGGACGGCAAAATATAGGCAGCAAAGAGAAGAGCCCCTTTGGCAGACCGCGGCAATAGCCACAACAAGAGGGCAGCGAGAGTGGTTCCCATCTGTGCACCAAACACGATCCAAGTGCGGCAGTTCTTGAACTTGTATGCCAGGTAAGGCATGAGGAGTTGTACAGTGCCTCCATATGCACCCGCCGGCATAGTAAGCAAGAGGGAATTGAGAGTGCTGAATCCGAAACCGTTGATGATGATGGGAACAAATGTCGAGATGGGTCCATTTGCAATCATGCAGAGGAATGCAATAGCGAAAACCAGCCAAAACTTGATGTCAAGACCGAGCTCGCCGACCTGCTCCATTTTGTAGTGGGTGTTGCGCACGCCCGAGTTATTGCTCCGCAACCGGGCAACCAAGATATATCGTTCTCTGTCGTTGAAGCCCTTTGCGCGAATGGGGTCGGGAGGGAGGACAAAGTACAAGAGAAGACCCCAGACAATTGTCAGCGACCCGGCAAAGTAGAACATGTATCTCCACGAAGAGACTCCGCCATTGAGCTTGCCGAAGCCAAAGTTGATCAGTGGAGAGAAGATCGAAACATAGCCCGTGCAGCTGTACCAAATACTTTATATGAAATGTTAGCATATTCTCAAACTTTCCTCGAACCTGTACGGCGTAGGTGGTTGACGTACCCCATTCGCATGGCTTGCTCGTTCTTCTTATACCAACTTCCGACAATGAGCATAAACATTGGGCTGATGCCGCTCTCCAGCAGTCCAAGGCAGAATCGCTGAGCGTAAAGGTCTCGATAGTTTCTGCATACAGTCGTAAGGATCAAGGTGAGACCCCAAAGAGTGACAATAACCGAGGCAACTCGCTCGATTGGAAATCGTTGGGCCAAAATCATAGTCGGATAGGCACCGACAATAAATCCAAGGTAAAAAATGGCGGCCGACATCGAATACCGATCACCGACCGTCAGGTCTAAGTCAGTTCGCAATCCGAAGAGAGCCTGTGTATCAGCAAGTTAGCGGCACGATAGGACATAAGGTCGAACACCGACTGGGTAGCACGAGTCTTTACTTACCGCCTGCGAAAGCATCGCCTTGTCATAATACTGGAGACCGTATGTCATGCATAGCACTGGCATCAATCTCCAGTCTATCTTTCTTCTGAGTTTCTTCTCTTCTTTCTCTGTCCATTCATAGTCGCCGGTGTAGCCTTCGAGCACCTTGAGTGCCTCGTCATTGTGAACCGTGTCAACAGCGGCGCTCGGCTTCATCTCTGCAACACCTTCAGGACGCTCCACTTGCTGAACACTCTCTGCAGACTTGGCGGGATCAGACATGTTTGCTGAAACTTGAAATCGGATGTCAACTTGTGGGATCCCGAACAGATGGCAACATCGTACGAGGGAAACCAAGGCAATGTTATAAAAGAAGCAGGTCTGCCTTAGCGCGACCTGTAATCCGGGGAACCGCGAGCTAACGAGACTTCTCCATGAGCAAACTGCAATGCAGGCCAGAGTAGTTGACTGGGGGAGGGTGCTGGATCAGCCGGCTTGCATCGAGAACGTGCATGTGGCCCCTAATCCCGGGGGTCTGGATCACAGCGTGGCACTCAGTGAATTAGGGGGCTGTCTCACTGACACGGCATCTCGGTAATTCAAGACGGGTTACCGGCCACAAGAAACCTTGCGGTGCTGGCGAACAACTACACCGCTTAGGGGTAACCGACCGCCGAAAGCGCCCGTAAACAAGCTGGAAATTCTCCCCCGCAAGGCCATAGCTCGGCGCTACTGAGGGGCCGGCAGATCTTTCTGTGGTTCTTCTCAAGCCCCTTGTTGACGGCTATCTTTCTCATGACCCAAGCAAACAACCCGAACAAACGATTGCATAGGTACTTGAGACCTGCCCAAAGTCAGACAAAGTTGGCTTGACATTGACTAGTATTCCAGAAGCGCCTCACATTTCATATTCGTAACTTCATGAGCGAAGCGCCAACATGTCAATGAAAACTCCTGTTGTTTCGTTGCCAGAAGGAAGGGAGACGGTGGTTGTCAAGATGATCAACCCTGTCAACTTTGGGCCGGCTATCCTCAAGCGTTTCATGGCTCCAGATGTTCCGGGCCTAGAAACTTTCAAGACGTCTCCTTCTCTCTGCTTCCTCCTGGAGCATCCTTCAGGTCGCAAGCTTGTGTGGGATCTGGGGATCAGAAAAGACTACAGCAACTATGCGCCTTCGATAACCAATTACTTGCCAACAACGAATTACGACATACAGGTGAAGAGCAATGTGACGGACATTTTGGAAGAAAATGGTGTTGCTGCGGAGGATGTCGAAGCAGTAATCTGGAGGTGCGTAGAGAAAAAGTCTTGTTTTCTCTTCAACACATTCTTTACATGAGGTACACTATGATCCTCTAACCTGCTGTTTAGCCACTGGCATTGGGATCATATTGGCGACCCATCCACATTCCCGAAAACAACCGACTTGATTGTTGGGCCAGGGTTCAAGGCGGCGATGCTTCCGGGCGCACCTGCAAATCCTGAATCTCCTATACTCGAGAAGGACTATGCGTAAGTTATTGTAGCCCCTAAGTATGATCGATCAGAACTTGTAACTAATTGAAACGTACACATTCAAGTGGCCGAAACTTGAGAGAAATCTCATTTGAAGAAGGGCCTCAGACCATTCGCATCGGGCGGTTTCCGGCATTCGACTACTTTGGAGACGGCTCATTCTACCTGCTAGACAGCCCAGGCCATGCCGTGGGCCATCTTTGCGGACTAGCCCGGACAACGCAAAGTCCGGACACATTCATTCTTCTTGGAGGTGATGTCTGTCACTACGCAGGAATCTTCCGACCTTCGAAGCATCTGCCTGTTCCCGCGTCAATCTCGCCACATCCTTGCCGGCCACACGGAGATACCGCACTTTGTCCTGGTAGCGCTTGGGACGAGCTCCAGCGGTCACGGGGCAGAGCTTCCACAGATACGCTCTTCGATGCAACGTTTGGTTTGGACCTTCCTATGGTGGGAAGAACAGTGGGAAGTCTCCAAGAATTGGATTGTGACGAGAACATCTTTGTCATTATAGCACATGACTCGACAGTCAGAGACGGTGTGCCTCATTTCCCAAGTGACCTTAACGACTGGAAATCAAACGGCTGGGGGGAGAAAGTCAAATGGTCGTTCTTTCGCGACCTAGAGTCGTACTGGGACTCGAAGGGGTTACTGTAGATATCGGGCCTAATTTATAGAATACGCATCGTCCTGCAGTTATCCACCAGACTGTCCTGAAAACTTACTAAGGCACCTGCAGAGTCAACGTTTATTTAACTTTCGCTTGGTTCCATTACTCTATTTATCCGCGACTTGGTGCCCCGAAGTCATGTGAATCCTAGAATCCAATTTGTGTCATTGAATAAGTCGACACCGATGTTCTCAGTCACTTGACGACAGCTCGCTGCAGATAAACCTCTCCGGCGATTTCATTTCGTGTCGTAACTAGTACCGTAGTGACTGATGAATGGGGGAGGCAGTAGTTACATGGTCTGGATGCACTGAGTCGTCTAGGTACTAGTCCCTTTGACAATGGCTTGAAATTCACCAGAGGCCTGCATTGCCGTATTACAACTGGGGCATTTCGGCACTTTCCTGATTGGGGTAGCCGAACCCACCGAGCGCGCCGAGCCGAAGTTTGTTTGTCTTCCGCGGTAAGGTTGGGTGACATTCTACCGCCGGCATCCCCGCGAATCCCCTCTTCCGTCTCCACCCAATTCCAAGCCTCAGATCTCTGTAGACCAACTGCGTTACTCACTGTTCATTATAATTGTGCAAACACCCTAACCCACAATTGCCCAGAGAGCATCGAGTCATACTCTTATATCGATAGTACTTCAAGCCCAGATCCGGAACTGTTGAGAACACCATCGCGCGTCAGAGTTCAAATCAAGCCAGGACTTCGCACAAGTTATTGCACCAACCATGACACAGGGGTCCGACTCGAAGCCCAACGGCACATCGCCATCAAGCTTCCAATCTGCTAACCAAGACCTCGATTACGATGTCTTGATAGTTGGTGGCGGCCTCAGCGGAATTTTCTCACTTTATCGAGTGCGGGAATTGGGGTTGAGAGTAAAGGTCCTTGAAGCCGGTTCTGCTGAAGGAGGCACTTGGTTCTGGTATGACCACTTTGCAGTACCGATATGTGAAGATTGAGCTAACTTCACTGCAGGAACCGATATCCTGGAGCTAGATTTGATTCAGAGAGCTATTCCTACATATTTTCCTTCTCTCAAGAAGTGTTGGATGAGTGGGACTGGACTGAGCATTTCTCGCCTCAGACGGAGACTCTACGCTACATCCAGTACCTCACCAAGAAGTTCGACCTGAAAAAGGACATGCAATTCAATACGCGTATTCGGTCAGCTCGCTTCCAGGAAGACTCAGGGTCTTGGCTTTTGACCGACGGAAACGGCGCCACTTACACATGCCGTTACCTAGTAACGGCGATGGGAATTCTCAACGAGCCCACTTTACCAAATATTCCTGGAGTTCACGACTACAAGGGAGAAGCATGGCATACGGCCCGCTGGCCTGGAGACGGCGCCAGTCTTGACGGCAAGCGCGTGGCCATCATCGGCACAGGCGCAACCGCCATCCAGACAATCCAGGAGATCGTTAAGACAGTTGGCTCTTTGACTGTATTTCAGCGGACGCCCAATTGGACTGCACCACTGCGGAATACAAAGATTAGTCCAGAGGAGATGGCCGATATTCGAAGGCGGTATCCTGAGATCTTCCGCCAGTGCTTGGACTCTTACTCGTGTTTCATACATGTCGGTGACACGAGAAGTGTCTTTGACATGGAAGAAAAAGAGCGCCTGGATCATTGGGAGAAACTTTATGCACAGCCTGGGTTCGCCAAAGTGCTCGGCATCTCAGGCGACATTTATACCAACCGTGAGGCGAATAAACTCTACAGTGACTTCCACGCAAACAAAATCCGCCAACGCGTCATCGATCCCAAAGTTGCGGAGAAACTTATCCCGAAGAATCACGGTTTTGGTACTCGTCGAGTCCCGCTTGAGAGCGGCTACTACGAGGCATTTAACAGACCGAATGTCCGCTTGGTCGACATCACAGAGACCCCGATTGATCACATCACGGAAAAGGGCATCAAGACGAGCGAGGAAGACTTCGAATTTGATGCCATCATCTACGCAACAGGATTCGACGCCATCACTGGGTCATTCCGGGCTGTAGACTTCCAGGGAATCGGGGGCAAACAACTCACAGATGTCTGGAGCGAGGGCATCCAAACTTTCCTTGGCTTGACTGTCAAGGGATTTCCAAACATGTTCATGGTTATGGGACCGCACCAGATGTTTGGAAACATCCCCCGAAGCATCGAGTACGCCGTAGAGTGGGTTGCAGATTTCATCCGGTATGCTCGAGACAATAACATCACATCTGTTGAGGCTACAGATGAAGGCGTGCGCATGTGGACGGATCATGTGTGGAAATGCGGAGAAGGTCTTTTGGCTAACGAGGTGGACTCTTGGATGACGGGTGTCAACAAGAACCTAGCTCATAAGCAGAAGAGGTCTATGACACGGTACAATGGACCTGCACCCGGCTATAGAAAGCGGTGCGATGAGGTGAAGGCCAGGAATTATTCTGATTTTGTGCTTGGATGATTTGGTTGTAAGAGAAAGTTGGCTGTAGTAGCATTGACTTGAGATTTTGTCAAAATTATGAAATCACTTTACGGGTACCAATACTTCCGCACAATTAGGCTTCGACATTATCTGCGACACAAGGTATCTTGTTCTTGAACAAAGCCCTCTGAGGGAAGTGGTCTAGATATTGAAAGCGGAATCCCTCACATCACAACAGAAGATGTCCATGGGCTGACAGGTATGACGTTTTCCTCTGACTATCTCACGCCTAGATATCCTGAGGCCTTCGCGCCTTAACCAGTGCTAGTACTTCGTATCGTGTCAAGTAAAGGTGCCTGTCTAATGTTCATGAATCTTGAACTCTCCCGTGGCTGTCGGGTTAGTCAATGCCCAAGTAATCCCATTGTCCGTAGTCTCGTCCCAGTGTTTTGACGCTGATAACTTGTCTCCAAACCGCCTAAATCCGTGAGGAACGCCCTTGTAGACATGAATATCCGTGGGGACACTGTGCTATATATCAGCGATCACTTCATGTGCTCCGGGGCCCCAAGCGTAAGAGCCACTTACCCAGCCTCTGTAAGCATCTTGGCGTATAGCAAACCCTCATCTCGTAATGCATCCAAACCGCAAATTCCAAACGTCGTCGGAGGTAGCCCTTTAACCTGGTCCGGGGTTGCATTGCCAGGATTGAGTCTCAGATCATTAGGGTCTGGATTCTCAACCTTGAGAAGGCCAACGAAAAGATCGATCATGGGGCGCGGCAAGATTGGGGCGCTTTCGTTCTCGGGGTACGATGAGACCGACGGACTTTTCATCTTCTTCAACAAGCCATCGTAGCAATCAACATGCGCCAGACAGGGGATCATCAGAACCTGGCCTGCGATAGAGGGTAAGTCCGAGGGGAGCTTTCCCAGGTGCTGAGCCAGTGTGAGTGAGGCTGTCAACTGTCCACCCGCCGATATACCTCCAACGACAACTTTGGCCGCGTCGCCATTGATCTCCTTGATGTTTGCATGCAACCAGATGAATGCATCTTCGGCATCATTCCATGCTGCTGGGTAGACGTGTTCGGGCGTATGGCGATAATTTACATTGACAACGAGCACATTTGTGCTGATGGCAATGCGAGAACACGTTGCATCTTCAGAAGTCAGTGTACCGAAAAGAAATCCACCCCCATGAAAATAAAGATAGACTGGCAGAGGCCCATCACCCGCTGCTTTGGGTCGATAGGTTCGGGCTTCGAGTGTTGCCCCATCACGTGTAGGGATTGTCCAGTCGCGTACTTGGACTTTATCTGCCATAGGCTTCATGGCTTCCACTGCCAACTCATCGCGGACCTTATTCATGACATTCTTGCGTTCCGACGGAGAGAGGTCGGTTTGGGGAGGAGGAAGACCAGCTTCCACCACTAGCCACTCTTCGCTAGGGCCGCCGTATCTCGAAAAGTCACACATCTTTTCTTGCGTCCGTCCTTGAGGCTTCAAAAGAGGTATCAGACGATGTTTGTATTGAGAAGGGCGAATTGAAATCCCCTCTCCAAGTTCTCTTTGTGTGGTTTCCCATGATCAGGTTGTCAAAGCAGAGCATAGGCCGAGGTTCGGTCAAGCCAACGCAATTAGTAATGACGAGGAGGGGTAATAAGCCTCAAGACTAATTTAGCCTCATAACAAGGACAGCGTGCCGAGGTTCTGCGGGGAAATAAGACCAACCATGCCTCATGTTTGCTGATCAGGGTCCCGTCATGCTGAGATTCGGCTTTGGTGACTCCGGCAATCACCAAGTTACCTGTCAGCGGCTCAGCAAACAACAATTACCGGGGAGAGCATGCCGGTTTGGAATTTGCACCGTGCCTGGTGGCCAACCGCGTGGTGGCCGCTAATTACCACAACCCTCGGGGCATTGTCACGGCTGAGGGAACCTTTCGGCAACAAGCCCACCCTTCAGTGCAGTCATTTCAGGTCCTTGTTCTAGTGCGACCCCGCTCAAATTGTGCTGGCCGGGTTTCCCCAAACGAGTTATCCGTGTTGCCGATGCAGCTACTCCCATGTAATATTACATGAAAAACTGAGGTCAAAATCGTCAAGCTGTTTTATATGACATGTTGAGTAAATGTAGTATAATCGCTAGTCACGCGATAGTCCTGTCATATCCAGGAGTCACTGAATTCCTTGCCGAGCAACGCAACATACACCACAGCCATGTCAGAAATTCCTAGCGAACCACCATCTCGATCCCTCAAGGGCAAGGTGGCCATTGTTACTGGAGCTGGATGTGCAGGAGATGGTATTGGAAATGGACGAGCTATCTCTATTCTCCTGGCCGATGACGGCTGTCATGTTGTTTGCGTAGACAGAGACTTGTCCTGGGCCCGCAAAACCTGCGATTTGGTAGCTACGAAATCTGAGAGAGGCGAAGCTCTGGCGGTCCAAGGGGATGTGACCTCTTCCACAGATTGCGAAAACATCGTTCAAACAGCATTGGAGAAATTCGGTCGGGTCGATATTTTAGTCAACAATGTTGGAATTGCGGGAGCTGCAGGTACTGCAGTCGAGGTCGACATGGAACAATGGGCAAAAGGTCTCGATGTCAACGTTTCTAGCATGGTTCTCATGGCGAAGTATGCCATCCCCGCCATGCTCAAAAACGAGGGCGAAAGCAAAGGCGTCATTGTCAACATGGGCAGCGTCGCTGGCCTGAAGGGAGGCACTCCGCACCTATTATATCCGACGAGCAAAGGCGCAATCGTCAACATGACGCGAGCGATGGCGGCACACCATGCGAAAGATGGAATTCGTGTGAATTGCGTCTGCCCCGGGGTAAGCCTTCGTCTTCATATCTCGTCTTCTCACCAAATAACATGACAAGCTGACCATATGGCGTTTTCTCTTGTGCGTACAGATGTTGTATACACCCATGATGTACGCCGGGGGAATGAGCGAGGAAGCCAGAGCTGCAAGGAAAGGAAGGAGTCTTCTAGGAACGGAAGGGAATGGCTGGGATGCTGCTTGTGCGGTTGTCTTTCTAGCCAGTAATCATGCAAGATGGATGACTGGTGTGATTCTGCCAGTCGACGCTGGCACTACCGCAGCTGTCGGGATAGGAATGACCAAGGCTGCCAGTGTGAACGGCTAGCAAATATGCATTTCTCAACACTTGAATGAATTTTAGAAGTTGAATAGAATTGCTGGAGCCTTGGAGAACGCATATCAATATTTGACCCAAGTACCAAGAGTTGAAACATTCAATTTGTGTAGTAGATCATTCGTGCATCAGAGCAACTCTAGCTTTAATTTCCCCTCTTTCCAAGCGTTCCAAGACATCGGGAAAGTCGCCCAGTTTCGCCGTCTCAACTCTAGGCCTGATTTTACCTTTGGAAATGAGTTGCAAAACTTCCCTCAGGTCCTTTACCTGGCCTCCATAAGAGAAGATGTAGCTGAGTCGCTTCCTAGTTCCGATCTTCATATGTATGGTGTTTTCGGTGTCGAGACTACCAATGCATAATAGCTTTCCACCTCGACGTACTAAAGCTATGTGTGAGATAGATCTTCCGTATTAGATGAGTCGTCAAGATCTGGTCTGTCTTACCTATCTGCTGAGCGTCCTCAAATGTCTGATGAGTGCCGACAAAATCGAGGACGGTGTCAATTTTCCCGGTCAATCCTTGCTCGACAACGAATTCTTGAACCTTCTTCCCTGGCGGAACTAAGTCTGCCCGAGGAACCCCAATCGCGGTGGCCTCCTCGAGCAGACTTTCTCTGATATCAGAGACAATAACTCTTGCCCCAATGTTGAGGACAATTTGAAGAGCATTGAATCCCAGTCCTCCCAGGCCGAACAGGAAAACAGTCTCGTCTTCTTTGACCTCACCTCTTCGATGGACAGCATGGTAAGCGGTGGTAACGGCGTCAGTGGCCACCGCAGCCTCAGCTGGCGAGACTCCTTGAGGAACATGTGCAAGTCCACGTATGTCGATAGCTGCGTACGGCGCATAGAATCCATCCTGACCTATACCGGAATGATGTCCAACTTCGCATATCTGAGCTAAGTCCCGCGAACATTCATCGCAGTGAGAAGCGCCGCATCCTGGAACGGCATTCAAAGCCACGATGTCACCCTGGCGATGTTAGGTACTAGTATGCGATGATTGTAAAGAACTTTTATCAAGGCTTACCACTTTGAATTTCGAGTCAAGAACCTGATCCCCAACCTTGATGATTTGACCGCACCCCTCATGGCCCTGGAATGAAATTAGCAAGGCGTAGAATTACACGTCAAGTGACTTGAAGCGTCTTACAAGAATGAACTTATCCTGAAACCAGCTGGGCTGTTTTTCGATGGTGAGAAGCGAGTGGTCACTACGGCAGACTATGGTTGTTGTGGAGTGAGTCACCATGATCTACAGCTATCGAATTGTTATGAGCTTACCTCCGGAGGCGATCATCTTGCACAAAACGCCCGTCGGCGAAGGCAAGGGTACGGGTACTTCTTCCCAGACCTAATCTCGCACGTTTGAATCATTAGCTTTGAGGTCTCGAGCCACTGTATCCAGTGCACGCACAGGATTTGGATTGCCCTTGTGCTTTCTCCAAGCAAACATAGTCTCGGGGATCTGCATGACTGAAGGCTTGCTCGTAGTTAATATCGAAAGCTAATGCCGTGTTTTGATAATCGATTCTGTTCTGCAACGATGAAGTCGAATTAAGTATTCGAGTATGATATGTTTTCCCTCTGGCAGGGTTCATCTAGGTACTTTACACCCAGACCACCAATGCTTAACCGGCTTACTCATATGGGCAAAGCCGAGGTTTGCCGATGGACTACCTTAGGGAGCGAAATGCCTAAGCAGCAAGCTAGCGAGTGTAACGAAAGAAATTCAATTGAGGATGAGAAGTTCAAACATCCCCGGTGTCTTGGACGTAATTAATATATCTGTTACCGTCCCGATATTCATGATTCTTGTCGTCTAATCTGGATCCCTCGGCAGAATGTCTCCTAAATAAACCTAACGTTATGGCTCACTCAACTCATAGCTTTGCTGCGCGACGATGCTTCTCGCGGTCTCTCAACAGTCGTCTGAGGATCTTGCCCGAAGGAGACTTAGGGATCGCCTCCACAAACTCGATGCCTCCCTTGATCCATTTGTGGGGAGCTTTCCTGGCCTGCACGTACTCTTGAATCTCCTTTTCGGAACATGGCCCCGACTTGACGATGTAAGCCTTTGGGACTTCGCCGGCACGATCATCCGGCACAGAAATGACGGCACAATCCGCCACGCTTGAATGGCCCAATAGGCACGCCTCTAATTCGGCCGGAGCAACTTGATGGCCCTAGATGGCTCTAGTCAGTCACTGCAAAAAGTGATTGAATGTTCGAAGCTCGTACCTTGACTTTGATGAGTTCTTTGATTCGGTCCACGATCCAGAGGTGCTCCTTTCCGCTTGGCGCTTTTCGCATCTCCCCAACGTCGCCTGTCTTAATGAAACGACCATTCTCCGTGTCGACAAAAGTTTCGCGATTTGCAAACTCGTTATTCAGATAGCCGAGCACAACACTTGGCGATTTTACCCACACCTCGCCTGGTTCGTTATACGTGTTGACCCGCTTGCCGTCAGCGTCAACGAGCATAATTTCAAAACCTGGCAAAATCAAGCCGGAACTGCCAATGACAATGTCCCTAGGCGTGCCGGAAGTGACGACGACGCATGTTTCTGTCATGCCATACCCGAGAGTTATCTTCCAAGAGGGATACGCGGAAAGCAGCGCATTAGTTGCTTCCAGCCCTAACGGTGCCGCTCCCACCCACACCCGCTTGACGGATGAAAGATCGTATTTCTTTAGTGCTTCAAAATTGTTGATCATCGCGATAACCAAAGGCGGAACCAGATAAAGTGTGTTGATTCTGAATCTCTCTATTGTGCGGAGGTATGTGTTCAAATCAAACTTTGGGAGCACGATCACCGAGTCGCCCCGATATGTTGAAGCGTGACATATGATGATAAGGCTGTAGATGTGGGATTGAGGTAAAAGGCCAAGTCCAATGTCGCGATGCGTTGGAGAGATGGCGTCCCGGTCTGCCTGGTCAAAAAGTGACAGCTGGATAATGTTGGCAATGACATTTTTGTGTGAAATCATGACCGCTTTCTTGTATGGAGCATCAGTGTACGAGTTCAACAAAGGACATGGATCTTTGGTGGTATCACTCACCGGTAGACCAGAGGTACCACTGGAGTAGCAGAGAAATGCTGTCTGTCTTTGTCCTTGACCACGATTCCACTTGATCGGCTCAAGTTGTGGCAAGGTTTGGCCTCGAAGAGTAAGCTCAGCAACCGTTTTGTACTGGGAGAACTTCGTCTCCTGTTGGTCAGGCATATCGCAGAGGTAAATGTAGCACTCTGGTATCCCGGCAGCTTTAGCAGCTTTCAATGCGACGGGTAGAAGAGACTGAACGGTGAAGAGCGCTTTGCATTTTGACGTCATGAGCTGATGCGTGAGTTCTTCGGCATTATACATCGCGTTTGCAGGGGAAGAGATGCCATTCACGCGATGGACGGCCCAAGACAATCCCATTATGTCTACCTGATTTCCAACAAGATAGTCAGCACATGCATCGTCTTTGGAAATCTTAGATTCCCAATGATTAGAGAACATACAGTGTTGAGGGCGAATATGCCAACCACCTTGTCGAACTCGTTGCCCTGATTGACACTCCATCCGAGTTCATGGGCCAATGATCTCGCAAGGGCCTCAACACGACCTTTCTGTCCCTGAGCCGAAATACTACTACCACTTAATCCGCAAGTGTAGGAATCAAGAGATGTCGCAACTGGGTGCCGTCCATACTGCTCATCGAACATGAAATCGCAGAGAGGCACTGTGTCGGGAATGCTTGGGAGTTGGGGAAGAGATTGGTCCTGGACGAACAACATCGTGACGGCGGGCTTCTTGGGCGTTACTGAATCGAGTTACTTGGCCACCGAGAGCTCCCAAAGAGATTCACGAAAGGTTCGAAATCCAAGACCTTTTCATTTATTAATCAGCAGTCGTTCATCTGGTAAGAGCTATCTCTGGCATGGAAGTAGGAGATTGACCGCGAGGTTCAGCTCTTTGCTAATCCCAATTGGGATTGCCGATAACCCCACGACGCGCAGTATCCCAGCGGGCCGTCTCGGAGTTGGTAAACCGCACTTGGTTCAGGGGCCCATCCTTTCAAAGAGCCCCACTAGAGTAGGCTCGGCTTTAGGCCAACAGGGTCACCCAGCTCATGCAGGCTGAAAATGGGCATGGAACAATACCGGCTGTCCTAGCTACGACATTGCGCTCTTGCTCGCCACGTGGAGACGCGAGACCTGGCCCCAAGATCTAGATGGTCTTATTTTAATAATAAGTTCGCAACATACACCGGGCCAAGAGCCGGTTCCGACGTCGGGGTCAACTGGCACTGACTTCTATACCCATCTCTATCCGGATTAGTTGCCGGTTTCAAAAGATAGCATCATAGTCGATTGTCGTTGAAGTCGGATCTTCAGATTCTTCTTTTATTAGGAAAGTGTGCAGCCCGTTACATACCAGTGCCGCTTAGAAAATCAATTCGATGGAAATGACAGCTGTAAAGCTCACCAAGACGGCTAACAGTACTTAAATGATTTTGGCAAACAGCCTATGTCACCAAGGCACTCCGGGCGACTTCACTGTTGATGAGGAATATGCCATGAATTGAGGCGTCGAACGCCTTGAGAATCCTTGTATCCTGTGACCTCTCAGTCGTGCACCAGTAGCAGGGACTCCTTTTTTGAGCTCCTTGCCGGTTCCGGGCATAGTTCAGAACGTTCTCGATGTGGAAATCATCATTCATACGTGCACGTAATATCAGCGGTATGATAGTCGCCCTGCAAGCGTCTTCCAAGAAATTCAGGAGTGTTGCCTGTTGATAGAGATGTAAGATTGTCAAAAGACATCGAGATAATGGAAGGGGACAATAGGCAGTGCCAGAGTAACAGACTGGAAGGGCCCCTTGACTAGTCTCAGAAATGGCTAGTTTTATGGCCAAGACTTTAGACGAGGGCGCTAGCGCTTGGCATCTGGGGAACGGCGAATTCATTCACTTTCCGGCGCAAATGTTCGCCCATCCATGTGCGTTCTCAAGATCGAAAGGCATCTCTTCTTATCACCCCGATAGATGCAAAAAAGAACCTCATCAATTTATCTTCTTGTCGGCGAGTCTCCACCTCTTTGGCCGAGTAATTGCACCGGCAGACTGGTCCCGAAGTGGCACTAGGGGGTTGAGAGGCAGCATGAAGCAAGTTTGATGAGACATGGTTTGGTTCTCTTGATTCGCAACTATCTGGATCTGTTCTCAGACAACAGCCTAAGTACAAAGTTTCAGTCTCTCTTGGAACCAGACTCTGCCGTGACTTTGGGCTGAGTCTCAGCTGTGCCATATATAACTCGTCCAGCAATGTCTTCAACTTGCAAATACGTTTGCCTTCCTTTGATAAACCAAAAGCCAACGCTGAACAAGAGGATAATCCCAAAGACAGCGATAGCATAGTTCATTTCAGCGACAGCAGGGTTTGGCTCAGCGGGGAAAAAGAAGAAAACCGTTGTGACCAGGCAGTAAACAATCGAAACCCAATTGATGATAGCCCCATATCGACCAAGACAGAATTCCGCTGGGGGCAGTTTGTTGCTGCCGACCAGAAGAAGCGTGAGAATAGGTATAGCATAGGATATCGTGAGTGCAATAGTACTGACGCCGACGATGGCCTCCAGAACCGTGTTAGAGAAGGTGTAAAGAAGACCGACGAGTCCGATTATGATTCCTTGTAACCATAGAGCACGAACTGGTGCCTTCCAAGTTTCGTCCACATGGGAGAAGTAGGGACTCCACGGAATTCCTCCATCGCGCGCAAAGCCCCATGTGAGTCTAGACGCCGTCGTCACGACAGTGACCCCCTGGCCCAAGCCATTGATGATGAAAAGCGCAATAAGGACTGCTGCTCCTTGCAGCCCAACTGTGCTTTTGACAAGATCCATAAATGGCAGGCCTGTTGTCGGGTCGAGGACCCGCTCGAGGTCTTGGATGGAAAAGAGACAAACGATCATGAATAAGAATCCAGTACCTGCACCACAGATAATAGACAACCAGATTACCCTGGGGATGTTTTTTCGTGGTGCAGGTATCTCCTCCACAAGATGGATGGCGGCGTCGAAAGCGGTGAGTCCGTAGGCGCTCTGGACAAGGCCCATAAACCACACAATACCATCACTCCATCCCGTGCGGTTGATCCATGCTCCGAATACAAAAGATGCGGGTTGGAAATGGAGTCCATCCCTAGTCCCAACCGATATGAGTAGGGCGAGCCCGAACACGAAAAACAACCCGGCGAAGGTTATCCCAACAAAGTTGTTGAAAATGGGGAGAATTTTGTCCCTTCGACAAGAAATAATGTTCAAGAGGGTCAGAAGTACTGTCGTGCCGAGGTAAACCAGAAACTGGACCCAGCCAGTTTGAGGTGCCGTCGAAATTTCGTCGAAAAGCAAGTTCATCCCCAAGATGAACTCAGTCATGAAAGCCACGGTGGAAGCTGACAAGGTCCACCATCCAAAAGTATTAATCCAGGCGCAGAGGTACGACAAAAAGCGACCAGCTGGAGTTGGCCATAACCGCGAGACCCAGTATGCCTGGCCCATAGCCGTTGGCATACTGCTGCACATCTCTCCCAGGGAAACGCCGATGCAAGTGTTGCAAAAGGTGACCAAACACAAGCCCCAGAGAATGGTTATGGGACCACCGTTCGTGAGGCCACTGGCCAGACTTTGTGCAAAGACTGACCAGGTGCCTAGAACGACAAATGCCAGTGACAACATACTCCACGTGTCGAACTTGCGACTGAGAGCTTGCGAATGACCAAGTTCGGCGAGATCTACTGCATCTTGGGCTGCCTGATCCGACATGATCGAGGGTTTCAACGTGGCACCCTGCTCAGCATCCATGTTGATCGCGTGGATTTGGATTCTCGTGAGGCTTTGGACAACAAAGGTAGAAGCAGAGGAAAAGCTTGATTGAAAAGTTGAGATTGTGACATTCTCTTGTGGTAGGTAGTTGGCGTGTCTTGACCACCGCCTACTTTCACGGCAGCGCACTACTTCTTATAAATATTTCCCCTCATCCTGATGTTGGATGTTGCCCCTTTTGGAGTCGATAAGACTCGGAGTAAGTGATTAGTGTTGGCGTGTAATAACGACCTACTTGTGACTAGAGATACGCATCATCCGAGTAGATGAATCTACTGAGGAGTAGGCCGACTCGTTATGCCGGTAACCCGTGGTTCTCTTGCCCCCACCAGCCGGCCCGGTCCCACTAGTCATCAACGACAACGAGTCTAACAACGTCCCTTGTCCCGGTCATCCCCGCGTGCGTTAGAGATCTCGGTTGTAAAGCTGAGACCCATTTGACTAAAGTTTGAACGGGCCGGCGAGCAAATGCCCCAGCTGCACTTCGTAGATGGCACGACATTTTACGTAAACACCATTCGTCAGTCGAGCGACCATGAGTATAAGTATAGTCGTTGTCTCTCAATTCTCAGACGGCTTTAGAAGCTGGAATTTGCCCCTGTGCATTGATACGATATTGCCGTCAACATGATCGAAGACACGGCTTCTCTTCCTGGTTATACAATCTTTCACCATGAAGAAAACGACCAAGCTCCTGATTTGTCTAAGCAAGCGGTGATGCATCCTCTCGGTATGTTCGAGTCTTCACTCTTGACGTGCAGCAATGCCTGCATACCTGAGACGGCCGCTGCCAATTACAAGTGTGATATTGTAAGCTAATGCAGATTTGCAGATCCGTTGTCAATTGACGAGCTACGAGTTGCTGCCAAGCTCATTCGTGAGCACGGAAACGCTGTCTCGGTCAAATTCAACTGTCTGACTCTACGTGAACCTCCCAAGAGCGAGTATGCAGAGTTCCGCGCAGGGCGAGGTCCTCGACCCGATAGGCGTGCTTTTGCTATCATACTTGTAGAGCATGGTTCAAGCAAGGTTGTCGAGGTCATTGTCAATCTGGCCAAAGGAAAGGTTGAGACTTGGAAAGCAGTGTCGGAGGTCGCACCGACCTTGACTCTTGAAGACCTTGACGTTACGGAACGAGTTGCTCGGAAGAACCCGAAAATCGTGGGGGTTTGCCGTGAGATCGGTATTACTGATATGTCCAAGGTGTTCTTCGACGCCTGGGCTATTGGATTCGACCACCGCTGGGGGTTTGAACGTCGTCTCCAACAAGGCCTACCCTACTACCGAAAGTCGTCAATGGACAACCAGTACGCGCACCCTCTGGACTTTTCCGTGGTCGTGGACACCGAAACGGAAGAGGTCCTCGCTGTTGACGTCCGACATGTCAACGGAGAACGTACCAAGGTCCCGCTAGATGAATACAACTACCTACCAGACTTCATTCAAGAGTCATACGATGGCACCAGGCTCAAGCCTATCGACATCACCCAGCCGCAAGGCGTTTCATTTCGCATGCAGGGCAACGAGCTTTCTTGGGCAGGCTACAAGATGCATATTGGTTTCAATTACCGGGAAGGCATCGTGATCTCAGACGTGAGCATCCACGACCAACAACAACAACGAGATCGAACACTGTTCAAGCGCATTAGCGTTGTCGAAATGGTTGTCCCGTACGGCAACCCTGACCCGCCACACCAGCGGAAGCACGCCTTTGACGTTGGCGAATACGGCAGCGGGCTAATGACGAACTCGCTCAAGCTTGGCTGTGATTGTAAGGGCGAGATCCATTATCTCGACGCAGTCATGACGACATCCAAGGGCGAACCAGCAATGATCAAAAATGCGATTTGCATCCACGAGGAGGACAACGGGCTTCTCTACAAGCATACGGACTTTCGTGATGGCAGTGTTATTTCTGCCCGTGATCGGAAGCTCATCATTTCCCAGATCATCACGGCGGCCAATTACGAGTATGCTTTTTATCATACGTTTACTCTCGACGGCACGTACAAACTCGAAATCAAGCTCACGGGCATGTTGAACACGTATTGCATGCACCCATCCGAGTCGGCAGCTCCGTACGGCACCGAGGTCGCCCCTCGGCTGAATGCACATAATCACCAGCATATCTTTTCATTGAGAGTCGATCCCGAGATTGATGGGCGAACCAATTCTGTATTGCAAAGCGACGCGGTACCCTCGGACGCGCCTGTGGGATCACAAGAAAACCCCTTTGGCAATGGCTTCTACTGCAAAAAGACAGCTTTACGTACTTCGGAGGAGGGCGCCTCAGTGTATTGTCACGAGACGAGTCGGGCGTGGGATATCATCAATCCGAGCAGCATCAACCCTTCAGCCAAAAAGCCGGTTGGGTACAAAATCATCAACCCCAATTGCCCTCCTCTTCTGGCCAAACCGGGGAGCATGGTATACAAACGGGCGGCGTTTGCTCGCAAGAGTCTTTGGGTAGTGCCGTACAGAGATTATGAGCTTTTCCCGGCCGGAGACTACGTCTGCCAGTCGACGGGAGATGAGCATCCGCATAACCAGACAGTCGTCGACTGGGTGGCACGGAACGAGTCCATCGAAAACACGGATATCGTGTGCTACATTCAATTTGGTCTCACGCACTTTCCTCGGACGGAGGACTTCCCAATCATGCCAGCAGAGCCGGTGAGCGTGATGCTGCGGGCCTCCAACTTTTTCGAGAAGAACCCAGGACTTTGGGTACCGCCGTCGTCGGTGTGTGTCGATCGGACGTCCAAGGATGCGTTCTGCGCCGATAAGGGGAGGCGTGGCTGCGCCCGGTTGTGAGGAATGGTATCCGTACACGGTGATACAGTGTGTGAGGACTGATGGGTGGGAGATGAACAGGGTGGAAAAAATAGGAAAGAAAATTGTCGTATTTGGATTTGTAGGAAAGCGCAGTGTGGATGAATGTCATTGTCTACCCACCCACGCGAAATTTCGTGTTTGGTGCTTCTAATGAGAGTCCGGTGAATCGCACAGACGGTGGATTAAGGTGGAAGGGCAAGACGGAGATTGTGACAAGGGTTGCGTGATATGACCGACAGTATCCGTAGGTGCTCCGTACCTTGGGCCTCATGTCGAATCCGTCATCCAGGCGGTCTACAGAAGATGGACGAGGTACCTACGAAGTAGCCTACCTTAGGTACCGTGGCACCTTAGTACTTTAGGTAGTACCTAATGGTAGCCATGGTCCAATTGGCACTTTTGCCTCAAGAGTCACAAGTGAACAAGGCGGATGACGATGCTCGAGTAAAGCGATGCCGTGACGGGTTGACGTGCTTATCTTCGATGAGTTGGCATCTCAGGGGTGTGTATCGGTCAATTGTAACTGTGTATCCGTATGCCATATGGGCGTGGTTGGATCGTGACGTCCAGCCCGGCGGTTGCTTGGGTGTCAATGACTCAAGTAAGATCTGAACATATGGATCCAGTGAGATGTTCCGCAGGAGCAGCCGCAGCCTCCGCTGAAGTATTGGCGATGGGAGATTTAATGAGGTGACGATGAAGGGGAGTTAATTGCTTTGCATGTGCTTGAACTTGAGGAGGGACCCCTCATGCGTAAGGTAGCACGGTAGCAGCCAAAGGCAAGGTAAGATGGTAAAATAGCTTCATACCTGAGGCAGCAGATATTTCCCCTCTTCTCCATTGGATTCTGCCGTCTTCTCTCCCCTCCGAGGCAGGAGCATACTTAGTAGAGGGAAGGCAGTCACCCAAGCACCTTCCCAAGTTGTACAGAGTACGGATATGGCCATGGATAAAATGTGTTTGTTTACATCCCAATGTATCCATAAGGTACACATGTTTTTTTAATTCTTTGCCGCCATGTGCCAGTACCATAGAAAAGACAAGAAAAAAAAAACTTCGCGCCCAAGTGCAAAGAAACAGCAGCGGCAGCCATTGAGAAGCCCCCACGTCTTTGGCAGGAAAATCCTTGACGGGCCCGTTGGTCAATGGTCACACAATGACAGGTCCCTGAGCGCCCAAGGCGTGACCTCGGGCCATTCCTAAGTATCTCTGTGCGCTATGGCCCGCTAAATGGTACCTCCATGGGGATGCCGCCACTACACCCAATTAGAGTAGCTTGAGTGGGCCCAACGGCCGGGCTGCCAATAATTTGGAGGGTCCAAAGCAGGGGTCTAGCCACTTAGAAAGCAGGTCGCTCATTTTCATCACCACATGAACGAGTGAAGCAGCAGGTGTAAACCAGTGACCCACGATAACGGCCCAAAAAAAAAAACACACAGCAAGAGCGATTGCTATGTATATAGAAAAAAAAAAAAAAAAGCACCCTGGCCAGGCAGGTGCTATGCTGTGCAGAAAATCCCCTTGACCGCCTTTCTTTGTTTACCTTGCCTCACCTTTTACCTTACCGACAATTCCCTCCCGGTCCTACTATCCCATACTCCTGCTCCTCCTCCTCCTCCTACTCCTCACCGTTACCTCACTCCCCAAGAGAACCTCGAGGACAGTCGACTCACCGACGTTCATGGGTCTTGCCTGCATTGCGCCTTTCCCCCAAATCTTCAACCATTAACCAATCTTATCCCACCAACTGCCCGCCTCTACACCTTCCCTCGACTGAACCGACAACAGGCCCCCCTTCCCCTTAGTTCCGTCTGACGAGAATTCTCCATCATGGGCAACGTTGTCTCAGTCTTCTCACCCAGTAACGGTCACCAGCTTGAGGGTTCTGCTGCAGAGCTCGAACAGAAGCTGGCCGACCGTGAGGAGACCATCACTGTCCTCGAGGAGGATCTTTCCAAGAAGGAGAAACAGTACACCTCCCTTTCCGAGGAGGCCGAAGACCTGCGCAAGAAGATCCAGGAGCTCGACACCCAATTGACCTCGACCAAGCAAGAGAACAAATCACGCATTGCCACTCTCGAGTCCGAGCTCGCTACCAGCAACGACAAGATCAACCATCACCTTCAGGCCAACGGCGACGCCAACACCCAGCGCGCCCAGGAACTCGACAACGCAAACAAGAAGCTTGCCGCTCTCCAGGAGCAGCTTGATAAGGTTCAGCAGGAGAAGAAGACTCTCGAGGATGATCTCGCTGCCGTGAAGGAGCAGCTGGCCGAAGCCAAGAAGGAGCGCGAGACCCTCGAGGTCTCCCTCCGCGACGAGCTCAAGGCCCTCCAAGAGCGCCTGACCGATGCCGACCAGGCCCGCTTCACCCTGCAGGAGACCCTCGACAAGATCAAGGCCCAGGCCGAGTCCGCGAACAATTCCCTCGGCGAAAAGGCTGCTGCCGTCACAACCCTCGAGGGCAAACTTTCCGACCTCGAAGGTCAGCACTCCAAGCTCAAGTCCGACACCGAAGCCGAGCTCGCCGCCGCTGGCAGCAAATACACCGCCCTTCAGGAGGCTCTCGATAAGCTCAAGGCTGACACCGATTCCGACCTCGCCGCTGCAAAGAAGGAGCTGAGCGATGCCCAGGAAAAGTTCACCGCTCTGCAGAAAACCCACGATGATCTCCAGAGCGGCTCCAGCGCCAACGTATCTGCCGCCCAGAAGGACCTCACCGATGCTCAAGAAAAGCTTGCTGCCCTCCAGCTGACCCTTGACCAACGTAAGACGGAAGCTGATGCGGACCTCGAGGCCGCCAAGAAGGAGCTGCTCGAGGCCCAGACAAAGTTCGCTGAGCTCGAGGATAACCACAACAAGCTCAAGATCGGCTCCGAGGAGCAGGTCGCTGCCACCAAGAAGGAGCTTACCGAAGCGCAGGACAAGGTTGCCGGCCTTCAACAGACCCTCGATGGCCTCAAGTCCGACTCCGCATCCGTCCTGTCGTCCACCCAGAAGGAGCTCGCCGACACCCAGGAGAAGCTCACTGCCCTCCAGCAGACCAACGACAAGATCAAGGCCGAGGCTGACGCAGACCTGGCGACTGCTAAGAGCTCCCTCGCTCAGAGCGAAGACAAGTACGCGACGCTGCAGGAGTCGAGCGCGGCGGAGCTCGAGTCTGCCAAGAAGAGTGTTGCCGAGTGGGAGGACAAATACAACAAGCTGGAGCAGTCGCACAAGGATGCTCAGTCTGCCTCTGGTACCGAGCTTGAGTCTGCAAAGAAGTCTCTGGCTGAGTCCGAAGAGAAGTACACCAAGTTACAGGAGACTCATGACGCCGAACTGGCGGCTGCCAAGAAGGGCGTTTCCGAATGGGAGGAAAAGTACAATGGCTTGGAAAAGACTCAGAAGGAAACGCAATCCGCTGCCACCGCAGAGTTGGAATCCGTGAAGAAGAGCTTGGCCGAGTCCGAGGAAAAGTACAAGACGCTGCAGGAGGCGCAAGCACAGACCCAGTCGGAATCCAGCGCAGAGTTGGAGGCTACCAAGAAGAGTGTTGCAGAGTGGGAGGAGAAGTTCAACGCTCTCAAGCAGACGCAGGAGAAAGCCCAGTCTGAAAGCAGCGCTGAAGTTGACGCCGCCAAGAAGACTGCTGCCGAGTGGGAGGAGAAGTACACCACCTTGCAGCAGGCCCAGGAGAAGGCTGCGTCTGACTCCAGTGCCGAGATTGATGCCGCGAAGAAGAGCGTGACGGAGTGGGAGGAGAAGTTCAATGTCCTCAAGCAAGCACAGGAGAAGGCCAAAGCCGAGTCTAGCGCTGAAGTCGAGGCCGCGAAGAAGAGCGTTGCGGAGTGGGAGGAGAAGTACAAGGTTCTCCAGGAGTCGCACGATAAGGCACAATCCGATGCTGGATCTGAGCTCGCCTCCATCAAGCAGAGCCTGGCCGATGCCGAGACCAAGCACAAGTCAGAGCAGCAGTCCCACGAGAAGGCCAAGGCCGATATTGAGGCGGAGCACACTACCACAAAGAAGTCTCTCTCTGATCTCGAAGAGCAGCATGCCGCCCTGCAGCAAACTCACGACAAGACGAAGACCGAGTCAGCCGAGGAGTCCTCGCGTCTGAGCAAGGAGCTGGCGGACTTGCAGAGCAAGTATGCCGACCTTGAGAAGTCCAGCGAGAGCGTCAAGAAGGACGCATCTACTGAGTTGGAGAGCGCTAAGAGGGAAGCTGCCAGCTGGCAGGAGAAGGCCGAGAAGTCGACCTCTGCTGTTGACTCATTGACGAAGGACCTCGAGGACTCCAAGAAGGATCTGGCTGCCGCCGAGGCGAAGCACGCCGCCGAACTGCAGAAGCTGCGTGAGGAGCTCACAAAGGCTGCCAGCGTTAATGGCGACAAGCCCGGCGCCGAGCCTGCAGTGGAGGAGGCCAAGCCCAAGGAAGAGGCTGTTGCTGCATAAGTGTCGCTGGGATTCCATTGATGACTGGGAAGATCTGTGTACAAAGGTGAAGGGCGAAGTCGACCAGGCCCCAGGGGAAGGACATACACCAAACCGAGATACCAAACAAGAGTGCCACGAAGTTGTACTTAATAAACTAATCCCCCATGAACTAGATACGAATCATGACACGTGTGAATTGACTTACCTTGCCTCTTCAATGACCATAAGATCCTGATGCATAAAAGACCCGCGATGTTCGTGATAGTGTGTCAGATCTATCTTCACCATGCTCATGTGTCCTTAACACATTTCCACCTCAGACTGCCTCGCAAACAACTGAGCAGATGACAAGATCTACTGCTCAATTCCACCTTTCATCCAAGTGGGTCTCATCGCAATCGTAATTATTGAAGGCATGAAGACTGGCATTGGACATCGTTTTCGTCACTCGTCTCCGCCGAATAGACACTGGCTGTCACTGCTATACGTTTTCAAGACTGAAAGGTTCAATTCCATCCGATTGCCTCCCAGGCATTTCGATCGGTGCTTACTTATAGGCTTACGGCAGCTCGAATACCCCCGAGTCGGAAGGAACAGAACTTGGGCCCTCCTTCCCCCGATTGGTCATGTAAGACGCCTCATCAATTAAGTCTCTCTGATTACTTGGACTTTGATAGCTGGTGAATTGATCCAAGCTTGGAATCGAACCCAGCATCTCGAAAACTTGGACTTGCTCAGACTCTTGCTGGGGTACTACATTACCCTGAAATTGTGATACATGGCTACCTCGCAGAGAATTTAGAGAAGTAGCTTGCGAAAGTGGATGAGGAGCCCTCTCCTGGGCATAACAAGCGAGATGGGCCTGTGATCGCAATGATTGCCGTTCGTGCGTAAAGTCTGTAATGAATGCTTGATGTTGTTGCCGACGAGGCTGAGGTGGAGAGTTGTGATGACTGGTGACATCCTCGTTGCGGTATATGGGACTATATGCGCGAAAACGGCCATTTGAGACGGTATTTCGACCATACTTAGCATCTAGAGGAAAGGAACCAGGATATACAACCTTAGGCTCCTTTGCTACATCTGGCGATGATGACGTATCTGGAGGGTTGGACTGGTAGGGGCCCTTACGTCTGTGTCGACCTAGTAGTGAAAACGATGGCGACGACCACGAGCGAAACTGACGTGCTGAAGATGGGATAGGCGTGGAAGCCGAAGAGGGAGATGAAGTGCTTCGTGGTGATGTTAAGTCATGAATCATGCCTGGAACAGGCGGACTGTCAAGGTTCCGATGACCGAACTCCTCTGATTGATGTTGTTTGCGGAATGACGGCGGTCGCTGCCTCTGGGCTAGATTTTCCAAAGACATTGCCGAGGTGGATCGAACCCCCAATGTGGTCTCCGAGTTGGAAAACCCGGGCGTTCCACGCAAAGACGACAAGGAAGACACCACGGAGGCTGGTCGATGGAAATGCTCAGCATCAGGCGACCACGGTGACATGGATGTAGATGCGCTCGACACAGATGGCGTTGATGATAACAGTGGTGTCATGTTTGCATAATCCCCGAACAAAAGAGAAATTCCGTCTCCATCAGACGAATCTAGGACTTCGCCTCCTGTTTCCTCATATTCAAATATACTCGGCGCATCTTGATTTTGGTCGAGGAGGTGCTCGGGTATGTCGATCTTCGACAAAGAGGAAGAGAGGAAGTCGGAAGGGAGTTTAGGGCAATCTGTAGATACAGACGGAGGAGATAGAGCCGAGTATACGGCAGAAGGACCGGAAGGCGCAGCAAAGAAGGTCTGACTGGCCATTGAATCGACTGGTTGGCGCTGCTCAGGGGGATTGATATTGCTTGGGTAGGCCGGTAATGAGGTCACGGATCCTAGGCCAACGTCAACATATATGCTGGGCTTACAAAGAGGTATAGTACCTGAAGTATTGGCTTTCCCCATCAAGTCCTCCAAGAGCGCAACGTTGTCAAACAACATCGTCGGTTTCTTGGCAACATCATCATCGCCATTACCGCGCTCAGGTGACGGCGCAAGCAGTGCAATCTGTCGTAGGAAATTCAATTCTGCGAGAACGGAAGCGTGATGCCGACTGATGACCGGTCTTTGTGCTTTGAATTGTGCGGAGTCGAGAAGAATCCAGGACAATCTACTCCTGAAGGGGGACCTTCCAGGATTAAGGCGAGGACGACTCTTTTCCACGATCTCACAGACCTCTACCAAACCCTTGTGTGTTGTTTCGACGATGCTGTTGACGCGCTCGAGAACTTTTGGACGTCTCTGAAGAAGGGGCAGCAGCTCGTTGCGGATTTCGATGAGATACTGCAGGTCGGCATGGCAGGTGCGCACAAGTTCTAAGCTGTTTCTGACTTCCTGTGGGACTTGATCCAGTTCAATACCAAAGAGAACAATATAGTAGGTTGCACGTAGAGCGCTGAGGGGATCCATAGAGAAACGACAGTGCTTAAGTTTGCATGCGTTCAACCGAATGTCAAATCAAGAAACTGACGAAGTAGTAGCAAATCATGATCCAAAAAGACGCGTTAGACAAGCTCACATGATAACAACGAAACCGGGAGGGGCACCATGGACTGTGTTTCTTGCCAGTTCGACGCCACATCAGTGAGAGAATGTGCAGAACCGAGATGACAGAAGGAGCTCCGTACCGAGCTCGACCCTGGTCACGGACCTGGTGGCCGCGATTCAGGTCTTCTTGTCTAGCAGCACTACACACAGTAGGCACATGAATGGCGCATGACCTAATTTTGGGGGCCAGAACGCTTGTTGGGGCGTGGCTTTCGCCGTAACAAGCAGGCTGCGGTATGATCCCGCCGCCATCAAGCATATGGCATGTTTCTCGTGTGGATCTCCTGCGCGTGAGGGGTTTCGGTGATGTTACCAAGAAGGCTCCCTCACTTGCTTATATGTCGTCTGTGAACTTGGGCAATTAGTAGTCACTAACCGACTTAAGTAGGACACTCCGCTGCTGCATGGTGGGATACAACAAGACGAGCCCTTGTGTCCAGCCTGTAACTGTCTAAATATGAACCATCAGGCTGGGGCTGAATATGGAGTGAAAGACCATCTAGGCTATTAGAGCCGTGGTGAAGGGGGTGGGGTGGTCAAATGCACCCATGGAGAGCCAGCATGCATGTGGCACAGTGGCGGCTGGGCTTTCTCTCTTGAGAGTGTGATGAGCAGCCTGATTGGTGCTCGTTTTTGTTTTAAAAAAAAAGTACATATTCATAACCAACAGCGCAGTCTTGGCGCTTGATACTCAATGGTTTTTCACCAGGGTCTGTGTGACGGTACGACTTTTCTAGGGGTAGAGCAGGCTGAGCTGAAGATTGATCATGCAGACAATATCCACATCTTCATCTCACAACCTACCATCCTGCAGGGTCCTTTTGTTATTTCCCTCACCTGCATGTTGGTTTGAGCCAATTTGCTAACATGAAGTAAGTAACTTGCTTTGCAGTCTGCAGCCAGCCGGTCCAAACATCTTACTGCTTAAACTTGTGTTACCACAGGTGCCACGACCTGATGAGGTGACTGATACAACTTTCCGTCCTTGCCACTCAACTTATCAAGACCAGGGAAAATAACGAGCATCCGCACTCCCGAGTTTCCTCTACCCTGGCCATACTTGAAATGCCAGTCGCCGGGCTGTGACATTACCAACCAACCAAACTTTGCGAATTCCAAAATGACTGCCTGGAGATGTTCCCTTTGCATCTCCATCCTGGTCTGGTCTGTATGAACGAAAGGCCTGAGGAAGGTCTCAAGAGCCGCGGTGAGATCAGCAGCCTGCTGAGCTGCCGCCGAGTCTGCCACTGAAAGTGGGGTCCGTTGGTTGCTACTTGGGTGCAGTAGATACGCCGATAATTTGCGCCATTGTGATAACGCGAGCATTTTTGCTAGTTACCGAAGTTAGGTCTGAGAATCTCGGTACTCTGGGAGGCCTGGAGCATTCAAATACTCACCACTAGAGTTTTCGTGTTGGGTATCCCCTGGAATGGAGCGGAGAAAGTTCGTCACCGGTTCGGGAAGCACAGAAAATCGGCCCCTGGAGAGGAAGTCGATACTGTTGAGAATGGCTGTAGAAACGACGTGCTGAAGCCCAACTTGTCGATTGATCGGATTAGCACAGATGGCGGCCACGCTTTCGGGAGTTGATCCCGAAGTCTGAGGCAATTCCAAGTCGCGAATGCTCGGAACTAGTGAAGAAGCCAGAGAGTGCAATGGTTGTAGATGGTAATGATCATCAATGTGAGACCGTAGAAGCTCGCTTAGTGAACGGAATTCGTCGCAGATTTCCTTGTCGGGGGTTGCATCTAGCAGAAATTGGCTGAGGTCGATATCCTTACTTGACTGGCCAGAACCAGGCTCTCCGTACATCTTCGACTCCGTTGTTAGCATGAGATTCTCCTTCTTGATATCCTTCCCATCTTTCTGGTGCTTTCGACGCAAAATCGCTATTGCCACAATAGCTCCGATCAGAAGGCCACCCAACAGACAGCCCACAGATGCCCCGGCGACAGCTCCTGAGGATATACCGGATGAGGACGGCCGAGAACAATGTGTCGAAGCACTCGGATTTGTCGTTGGCTTGAAGCTAGTAGTATGAGCTAAAGGATACTCAAGGACAGTAATCGCCACTGCGATAGGTGCTTGTGGAACCGCATTTGTGTATGGAGTCGCAGTGAGAATGGTGTTGGCTACTTGGGTAGGTGTGCCTGTGTCGATACCAGACTGGGCCCCAGATAGTGTCATATTGATTTCTACAACTGGCAGAGCAGGTGTGTTTAAGGCCGACGAAGCAAGCTGGCTTGATCCAACTGAGGTGGAATCAGTTGATGAGGTGGCCGATGCTATACTCCCGGAAAGGCTGCTAGACGTCGCGGCTGAGTTTTGCGTGGTGGAAGGACTGGACATCTTGACGACCAAGATCAGACAGTCCCCTTATTGAGATAAAAAGAGGAGGTTAAGAGTAGGTTGACTTGCGACGGCGGTGAAGCGGGCTTTGCAAGCTCAAATACGGCCTGGAATTAACACACAGTATTGCTTCTGCTTCATCGTTATGCTCGAAAAGGGATGACACCCCCCACACGCAGAAGCACAAACATCCTTACCCTACACTGAGAGCGTAATACTTGTCAGTTCAGGTAAACAACCCACTTGGTGGTCGGGTGTGAAGATAGAGAGGTTGGGGGGCAGGCTAAGACGTAAAAGCTGACAGGGTGGTAGGAGGCGGAATTGCCTTTTTTGCATCCCTTGCGGACTAAGGTACTTACTTTCGTTGTCAATCATCAAGCTCAGCCAACTGGAGGGGCCTCACGGCACCAACAGATGAACTAGGGTCATCAAATCGCCACTTGTTCTTGCAGCCTCGTGATAGTGCGGCAGTCCGCAGCAGAGTTCAGCGCCTATGGAATCTGACTGCATGAAATTGGTTTCAGGCAGACGTCGGAAGGTGTTTCCTTGTGCGTAGAGTCTGGGTTACCCGAAGACAGCGAAGGCGCAAGTTGACCATGCCACCTACATGTAGGCAGCCTTCCTGCTTGAGCCAGGGATGGACACATGCCAAGCGGGGAAAATATCAGGCGGTGGATAAGGACGCCCAACACGCAGCTTCCTGGTTTCCGTCTACTAGCCCCGCTCCCTTCCCCTTGAAACATGAATACATAGAATGAACCTTTGAATTCAATCAAAGAGGGCCTCTGCCGTGAGACTTGCCTTGTCAGTCTTCCTCGAGAAGGGGATTCCAACGTAGTAGAATTGAGCTTGACCTACCATACCTCATGCCGCATCGGTCAGGTTCTGCTCTTACGATGGCTGCTAAACCTGATATTCTGGTGTCCATTGACCTCGGCACTACTTATACTGGCAAGTTGCTTATATTTTGTTCTCATAGAATTTGGTAACTAATGGTTTATCCAAGGGGTTGCCTGGATGACACCGAGAACACCCATCCAAGTCATCAACGACTGGCCTGGGAGCGGCGACCGGGGAGAAAGAAAAGTCCCGACAACTATCATCTACAACGCTGATGGTACTATCTCTTCGTGGGGTTTCTTGTGCGCAGACGATGATGAAAATGTTCCCGGCAAGACTCGGCGGGAGTTCTTCAAGATCTTTCTCGACGATGATACGTTGGTGGCCGCGCAGAAACAAGGCCTGGAACACATTCCACGCAGCACTTCTGACGCGCAAAGATACGTTACAGACTATTTAAGACAAGTATATGGACACATCAAAGAGAGCATAGAAACCCAGTGCGGTCGACGTCATTTTGGTGGCTGGGCAAGTATGACAGTTACCTTCCTGTTCAGCGCCCCGACTACCTGGACTAAAATGGGAGTTGTGAACGCATTCAAAAATGCAATAAGCGATGCCGGATTTGGCATCGAAGGACCTCATCATATGGCACAGCTTGATTTAACGGAGGCAGAAGCAGCCGCAGTCGCGACTCTCAAGACTAGCCCCGTGGAGTTTCGATTGGGGAGTCTCTTCTTAACAGTTGACGCGGGTGGTGGAACTACTGACCTAGCCTTGATGCAAATTACATCAACTGATGGCAATTTCCCGCAAATGTCGCAAATGGCGGCTGTGAGGGGAGTTGGCATCGGTGCATCCCTCATTGATAGGGCCTTCGTTCGATTGGTAGCTCATCGACTATCTACCTGCCCTGATGCCCATGATCGACTGCCCACGGACTGCGCCAATAGAATGGCGAGGAGTCACTATTTCCGGACAGTGAAACACAAGTTCGGAGAGAGAGCCTACATGCAATCCGTCTACAGAATCCAGATGGATGGTGTTTCTCATGACTTTAGCCATCCTGGATTGCGGGTTGAAAATGGGAGGATGGCATTCACTAGGTAGCTGGCTCAGCTGGCTGGCAAACTTATGGCTTGACTGACAAAGAATTCAGGGAAGAGATCACTTCGCTGTTCGAGGTCCAAATTGAAGGCATAATGAGGAGAATCAAGGAACAGCTGGATTGGTTGGGCGCAAATGGCCAGCCTCAGCAAGTTGTATGTCTCGCATGACTACGATATTGAACAACATAAAACGGCTGACACTAACAGGATCATATGATTTTGTCCGGTGGCCTGGGGAGTTCGGCATATGTTCGAGATAGGCTCCAACAACAGTTCACCAGCTACCCACACCCAAATGCGAGCCAGATTGCAGTCATCCCCTGCCAGGACCCTCAACTCGTTGTCGTGCGAGGACTACTCCTTGATCACAGGCAGAAGATGGAGTCTGGGAATCTGGCGGTGCTAGCGACTCGGATAGCGCGAGCTAGCTACGGGGTCATTGTCCGAGAAATCTACTCGCCAGCCAAGCACCTCAACGAGGACGTTGTTGACGACCTATTTGAACACAAGCAGAAGTGGGCTATCAACCAAATAGAATGGCTTATTCGGAAGGTCAGCCTTTCAATTTCAGGGTAATAATGGTGAGATCACTGACACGTCCACAGGGGGACGTTATCAATCCAGCGAAGCCGTTGGTGAAGTCGTTTGATATTCGTCTCAAAGCGGCAGAGACAACTAGGTCATGGGACGCTAGAATCGTGTCTTCTTACAATGAAGTATCCTTTTTACCACGCAGTATGAAGCAGGGTAAGTCTTGAGCTATACAACGCAGTATTGTACATATTTGAGGGAGGGGGAGTGACTAATTTTGTGCATAGCTGGAGCATTCAAGCTTTGCGAAGTCAAGAGCAACCTCACGGGCGTACAGCAGGAGCAACTCATACTCAAAGAGAAGCGAGGCACATGTTTCTCCCGCGGCTTCAAGTTCTATATATGTCAATTTGATATTCGAGTCATTGTTGCGCCTGCAGATTTACGATTCGAGCTTTGGTTTGCAGGCCAAAAGTTCTCTGGAAACCACGACCCAATCGTGGTGACGTGGGAGGACGAGGGTGCTAGCACGACTAGTGAGAAGTAAATGAAGATGTATCGTGGTAAATTTGTGCGTACTACTAGCTGAGACTTAATCGAAAGCAGGAGCGTCTCTTGTCGTTTGTGTTCTTGCCATGAAGTCTAGAACGCTTCCGCCGATGCGAGCGGAAGTATTAGGAGCCGGGAAGCCGAGTGCTGACAAACGTTGAACATGGAGCCACATACTTCTTAGGAGGCACAGCGCCAACTACATATTATTCCCGGGTGTTCAGTATTAATGCCGCTTCATTTCTTTCTCCTGAAGCCAATCAATAAGCCCCAAGTGAGATCAGCGGTAAAGAACACCGAAGGTGTAAGCCTTGACGTAATCTGACGCTTGATGGGAACCTGTTTATATGGCACAGGTAAGCTGCATGTAAGTGATTATAATGCAAGGGTTTAGTGTTCGCCCGTAGAAGGGTATTTGAGTAACTCTACAGTTCACACGCTTTAACAAAAAACAATCTCGAGGAATAGTCCTAATAGGGTATGGCCCATGACTGATCGTCGGGAAGGAGGTGAGGTTAGCGGGGATTCGTAGTGCCTCGAGGATTGCACCATATCTGGTAATTGATCAGCAGCCCGAGTCATTCTGTAAATGATAGTGAAGGATGGTGATCCCGGCATTGCGCTTTCAGTGGCGTTTCTCCTACCGTTTACCACATGAAATGGCATCTACGACAGCCAGAGATCTAGACAGAAATAGCAGTCACCTCGAGGAATGAGCCGAGTTAGGTATCGTCTGGTATACTCATCCCTCCGTTGCCTGCGGCCTTGCGAAAACTTGTTCAAACAGACCCTCCTGTCGTCGTGTTATAAATTCCTTGGCCTCAAGACCGCAACTTCTCGAACCATGTTCTCGAGGTAGGCACATCATTTTGACACTACTCAAGACGAGTCTCAGTCAACATACACCATCGACACTTGCACACATAAACGTCAACGATGGGAAACGCACAATTAGGCTCAACTAGTTTCCCCACAATGAACGACATCCATGTTACTGCACCCCCTCCTTATTCCGTCGTTGAATCAGATGATCCCCGGAAACTGTCCATAAACTCGTCATCTTCTGATCCCATTTCGTCTGGCTCGCCATCCTCGGTTTCACTCTCTATGGATCTGATATCTTTACACTCCTCTGGTCGAGACGCGGAGTGTGAGGTTGAGCCCAAAACAAGCTGGATACCTCAAGAGTCCAGCGACCCAGGGCACTCGCAATGCCCACTCGAAGTTAGTAAACCTCCTCTCCCTATTCGACTGCTGGGCCCTGCCGAATACTGACGACGCAAAGAAACCAGTAGTAATCCCTAGAGTAGACTTTGCTCGTCCTCTCGAAGTTCCCCTGCCTTTCATGAGAGCATACAGCCTGGTTCTACAGGCCCATGGAATTTTCGAAGAAGATTTCGTCGCATTCCTCGATAATTTGACCGTGGCTCAAGGCCCGCCTGCCCCTTTGACGATATTGAATACGGCAGGTAGCATTGCGGGGCTCGTGTAAGTTTGTGTCTACGCTTCCCTCACGGCACTTTGAAGGAAGTTGACATTCCTAGGCCCAATCATTGGGCACAATTAGCAGGAGGCATAGCAAATGTGACTGCTGGACTAGGGACAGCTGCCACACGGATTGTTCGGACGAAGCTGTTTCTAGATAAGGTTAACCGTGACTATTTCGAGCCTCGAGGCCTCAGAGCGTCGATATGTAAATCCAAAACTCTGGCCGCTAAATTGGGATGCGGTGAACAACTCCCAGAGCTCTTGTAAGTGTCACTGTATCCAGAGCAGAAGTTTCATGATTCTTACCCTCTTCATGCACAGACCCACCACACCAGAGACATGTGAGTTGAGCTTACCAGACCGCCGAATGCGGACTCTCGAGCCATATGTCGCGCCTCTCACTTTTGAAGTCCCGCCACCCAGCAAAGAACGGAACCTCGTTGACAGGATGACCGAAAAACAAATTGAGCGGGCTGTCAAAAAGAGAGAGAAGCAGAGAGAGAAGAAAAAGAGCAAAATCAAGAAAAGCAACAAGGATCAGCCGCGTGATGGATCTAAACATGTTGAATGTTTAGATGGCAGTCTCACCGACAAAAAGGTGCTGAGATTGGAGAAGCGATACGAGAGAAACCGGCGAAAGATGGAAAAGGCCGAAAAGAAAGCCGCCGAAAAGTTAGATAAGAAAGGGCCACTGGAGTCTCAAGAAATCAAGAGGAAGAAGGAAAAGAAAATCAGGAAAGCTGAGAAGAAATGTCAGAGATTGGACGGATATGAGGAAGAAGCTATTTCAAAGCGTGCTGAGGAAGGGAGCAAGAGTCAGGCAAAAGATGGGAAGAAGTCAGAGAAGATTGAGTTTCTATTGATAGAGTCTTGGAGGGGCTAGAAGCATTGAGGCAATAGCAAATAGTCTCTTCAATGCGTACAAACCAGATGTCATCGAGGTTATCATTTTGAGTAGTCACGTATGAGTCTGTCCGACGTGATGTTTGAGACAGGGTTCAAGCGGAGCACGTGTCGAGCCATGGCCCATCTACCGGTAGAGCCGGACGAAATGTGCCTGAGCTGGAACATAAGCCACAGCCCAAGGACTTCGTCTGACTTGCCTACGGCCTCGTACGCCATTCTGATTGGAAACAGAATGGATGAACTCGCAATATTCCGCAGTTTATCAAGATGATAGTCCACACTGCGGCATATAAGAATGCCGGATTCATGTATCCTGGTTGGTGTGGGCCCAGGTTCGATACCATGACCTGCTAGATCTCGTAGCGCAAGCTGCAAACCGTGAATCAGGAGTAACAGTAAGATCAAGGTCGCGTGAAACAGAGTTGAGGTACTCGCATTATAGAGACTGTGAAATTTAAGAACGGTGTCCCAGACGGGCTCACAGGACCTGTCGCATCCAGAGCGCATTGGTGTTGTAGCGGCCGGCGCTGGAACTAGATCATATTGATCCAACTCGGTGGATGACCAGCATTTCTCCCATGTCTCGAGATCGTTGAGAACTTTTTGTGCCTTTTCGAGCAGAGATATTAGTGCTGAATTGCGAGGAAGCCCTTCAGATTTACCGAAAATATCCTCTCGCAAAACAAAGAGTTCGGGGCAATCTGCAACGATGTCAAGAAGCAGCTGGAGTGGATTCTTCCGTTCGGGGTTGTGCACCCATGGGAGACCTTTCCACAGGGCCCTTGAAAGAATTGTAGTTTTGCGGGTGACAAGAGCAGCGAAAATCATTGACGGCCGCGCCTTCTCCAACAGTACCAAGCATGGTAATGGCTGCATGGAGATCGGTCCTCGGAAGTCAAGAAGCCTTTCCAAGCCTCGCGCGTGTTCTATCCATCCGTCTTCACGGTTACCAGCAATCATCTTGACCATCAGAGGTTAGCTTCAATACCCACAACCATTGATTTAAGCCATATCCTCGGGTATAGCCCTGCAGGGCCACTCACCTCGAAAACGGCCATCACTATGATGGCCTCTAGGACGTCGAAAGATCGACTCTCCTGGGGGTCACTTAACGCCCTGTTAAGAGCCTTGAGCGCAGTACCATATCTATAAAGACCATGTTGCAAGACGTCCGGCTCTTTCTTATCGATGCCAAAAATGGTTGTGGAAAGCGCGACAAAGCACTTGTTGGTCAATGTTCGATTTGCGTCAGGGCTCACCACAACATCCTCGCTCTCGTGCAGCAGATAACTTATCGCGTAAGAGGCGTAAACGTCATCCATAGATCCTAGCGTCAAGTATTGTCTTCCAATCTGGGTTGGAATGATCTCGTTTCCCCGGGGCACTATAGCTGAGTGCGCCGTGGTCTTTGATCCTATGATCGGTGCTGTCTGAGAGGTGTCACTGACACCGGTGCCGTGGTGCGCGGCCCTGTGCCCGTTGTATTGGATGAAGCTGAGGCCGCGACAGCCCCCGCATTTCAATTGCGCCTTGACGCATCTTGCGCACTCGGGCGCGGCAAGATCTGAATCACTCGGATTAGAGGATGGGCCGGTGAGCCATCTACAGGAGTGAGGGCAGCCTTACCACACTTGACACGTCGACGTCGACAATGGTCGCAGGCTTTACTTCTTCCTCCCACTCCAACCATTTCGTCTTGTGGTGAAAAGAAGGCCGCTGGGTTGCATGCCAATTCCAGTGAGATTCCCTCACCCCCGGGCCATGCAGCTGAGTGATGTGATATACGCGGGTCAACGCGCAGATTAAATCACGTCTTACGGCCAAGCCTGTTCCCAAGGCTCGCGCTATGACAAAAGCGGTCAAGACACCCAGATAGCCTGCCTAAACAATAAACGCGGGGCAGAATTCGACGGCAACCGCCTTTCACTCCAGATTTGGCTGTTACTGCTGTCACAATGTATGGGGATTCCAGAGACTAAACCACGAAGTAGGAATCGTCTGTGCTCGCATTTGAAGCCTCATGTGTATGTCCTAACATTGCTCTCCAAGAATATCAAATTTTCTTGACTATTGCTGGGAACCAAGTCTGATTTATGAATAATATACTTCACAAGAGGTATCTAAGATGTAACACACGGACGAGCGTCAATTTTTGTTCCCACTGGAGGCTCTGTTGCCTTGCACTAGAAGTTGGCTCATGGATTATCGGCAAGCCGGCAATCCTGAGACGGCAGCTATCTTGCTAGTTTCGCCGTCGCAAGTTTCTGTCCATGCGCAATGCCAAGCAACCCAACTGATAGGGAAAATGGTGTTGAAGTCTAACTGTCGCCTTCGGGGCAATCTTCGCGGAAATCTTTAGCAAAGTTTTGACTTGGCTGGCATGCTGCCTACCTTACGTTGCCGCCGGCAGTGGTGGGCAGCAAAATCAACTGGAATCCCCCCCTCATAAGAGCATCGTCTAATTTATTCGGCTCAATTGCCGTTGGCCAAGCTTTGTCCTCCCATTCCTTCACCAACCCTCGACTTCCATCTACGCTGGTCAGTTCTGTCATTCGTTACATCTTTTAACTACTATGGAGAAGCGGAGGATTCGCACCGCAAACC